CCCATTCAATTGAATGGGAGTTTTCCCTGTGTCAAGGGCTGCAGCCTCAGACCCTTTGACACTGAATTCCAGTAAAGGACACAAGACCTCCATTTGGCAGGGAGTTGGAGGCCACAGTGCAACTGGTGAGCATGTGTGTCCTCAGCCAGCCAAGTTCCATCTGTTTTTGTTGGTCAGGAGTCTTCATTTTTCTTAATATTGCTGGATGCACACACAGCAAAACTTATAGCTAAGACCCAAAAGCCTCCAGCAGAGTGGAAGGGGAAAACTATTCAGCTGACTTTATGTTCAACAAGTCTCTTTGGGCAGGTCTGCAGTGGAAGTGCTACACTGATGCAGCTGCACTGCTGTAGTGTGTCTGGTGAAGACGCTGTAAGTCAACAGGAGAGCCTTCTCCCGTCCACATAATTACTCCACCTCCCCGAGAGGCGGAAGCTATGTCAGTGGGAAAGCATCTCCCGCCCACGTAGTGCCAGTGTGGACAACACTTAGGTCGATGTAACTTGCGTTGCTCACGGGGGTGGGAGGAGGGTTTTTTCACACCCCTGAGTGACATAAGTTAGATCAACATAAGCGGTAGTGTAGACCTGCCCTTATATAATGAGATTATCTCATTTGTAAGCGATGTTACACATATATTATTATTTACATACCACTATAGCATTGTCAGGTCTGGCAGGCACTTTACAATATCTTGAATATATCATACTGACTATAGATTTGGTGTGTCTTGATTTCTTGCCCCACCGAAACACACGGCTCAATCCAAAGCCCAGTGAAGTTTTTCCATTTAGTTCAATGGGCTTTGGATCACGTCCTTATACACCAAAAGGTAGGAAGGAGTACAATACAATAGAAACAAGTGTGATGAACGGTCGTTGTAAATAGAATGCACTGTGGGACTGATATATTTGGAGGAGCTTTTCAAAGGAAATTCAGAGGTAAATGGCTTTTGAGAGATGATCTCAGTTGCATGAACATTATTCCAGTTTATTCTTTAAAACTGAACTACAGGGACTGCACTACAACTTAAAATATGATCAACTGCCACAAACGGTACCTCACAGCATAACTTACACTCAGTCATTCTTGTCGATAGTGAATACTAAGGTGGTGTTTGGAATATGAACCTGGATCAGATCCTAATTCTGCACCTGGCTCCAGCCCCACATCTGAATTTTGCAACTCAAGTCTCTCTCTCAAATGTTCGACGGCTGGTGTATCATGGGACTTTGTTTTATTAAAAACAAACAATTACATAATTTCATAATCCCCTTCTGTAATGCTCAGGAGAACTGCTACCATAACAGCTCACTGCCGGTCAGGTCTCAAATAACCCTCTCTCATTGCCATACAAATACTCAGCCAAATGTCTGGCTAAAACACATAAACCTTATACTATGCCCTGAAAGCAGCTAAGCCCCAGTGAACTATCAGACATAAACTCTAGGAATGGGCCTTGTACTGAATACATTTTGTTGCAAGTCTCAGAATGTTCTATTCTAGGAAACCACAAGTGCCACCAGAGGGTAAGGAACAATGGATCCATCACAGGAATAAAACTTGCAGGTACATATCAGAAAATAGCATTATATATGCAGATGATGTAACATTTTTATCTAAACCAAATACTTCCCTAAAATTAGTTTCTAAAGAAATCCAGGACTTTGGGAAAGCATCTGGATTTAAAGTAAATTATACTAAACCTGAAATGCTAACTATACATTTGCCAGATTCTGAAAAGTCACTCCTCCAGAAAACATTTGGGTACAAATGGACAAAAAATTCTATCAGATATCTGGGAATTTAAATCTCTCACAATCTAGAGGAGCTCTGTGATTTAAATGCCAAACCACTACTTCCGATCTTTTTTCATTTGCTGGTGCGCTGGAGAAGTGTGCAATTTCTTGGTTGGGAAGAACAGCCACGGTTGAAAGTGCTACAGACTATATTCTGCCAAGGATATCTTTCTCATTTCAAAATCTTTCTGTGATTATCCCAGAAAAAACACACTAGCAATAATATAGAGGATGATGTTAGAATTTATATGAAACAAGAAAAGACCACATGTGAGATCAGACACTTTGTACCAACCCATGAAACAGAGTGGACTAGCTGTTCCAAACATTCTCTGTATTACCAAGCCAGTCAACAAAAAGTGATAGTGGATTTAGGGGAGGTCTAACCCAGCCAAACACTGGGTCTTTATTGAACAAGAAAATTGCAGCTAGGCTACCATGGATTAATAAAAAGTCATGCCCGCCAGAAATTTACACACATCCTTTAGCAACCGTTCTCTATGAGTCTAAGCTAGAACTAGGGATGAGATAAGCTCTTTTCCCCCACCAGTGACACCACTGCAAATAATCCAGATCTTAACCCAAATTGCAAACCATTGAGCTTCAAAGGTAGGGAGAGTCGTAGAATAAACACATTGGGCAGCTATTCAGTAAAGAAGCTTTTCTAACTAATTTAGAGATCAAAACTAACTTATAATTGGCCCACGCTCTCCTGGTACCAGTACTTTCAAGTCAGGCATTGTTTCTCAACTTTCTAGAAACCTGTTTTATACAGAAAGCTAACTTTAATAGAAGTGATGGCATCCAGTCAATTAGGAAACAAAAAGTATAACTAATGTATATCAATATTTGCAGACAGTTTCCCTAACCCAAAAGAAAAAAATAAGTGTCCATATCTGACAGGCTGGGAAAAGGATGTGGATAGACAAGTTGCCCCAGAGGAATGGGGTTTGATCTGGAAAAGAGGACCAGAAACCTCAGTCTGTAGCACAATAAAAGAAAATTTCTTTACGATACTGTTTCAAGGTACCTCATACCAGTTAGGTTAAAGAATAGAGAGACTGACTGGGGATAAATGTTGGAAAAATTGTGGTGAAAGAGGCGATTTTATGCATATATGGTGGATATGTCCAGTCATTAGAGAGTATTGGGATGCGATCTGTAACAAAATATCACAATTGTGGGATATTTATTACCCAATGACATTTTGGTAATCCTCCTAGGGCTTCCTAGCAGAAATGGTCATACAAAAGTAAACGAATAATTCATCTCTTATCTTCTAATCACCGCTTGGCCACTGGTAGCCTATTGGGGAAAAGAATAGCCCAACCATAGAAGAATGGTTCAAAAAAATATGGGAATGGAAAAATTAATACACCATTTATGTACCCTGCAAAATAGGCAGAGGACAAATTGTAACCTGTGTGGTCAGTCACTTCCCCATCAGCTGAAATCCTAATGTCCCATTGCAGTCTGATAATTCTCTGCCCTTCTCAAAGCTCTTCACAAACAGTAAAGAACTAAGCTTTCCAAAACACTCTTATGAGGCAGGTAAGGATTATCTGATCATTTGCATTGCTGCAGCTCCTAGGAGCCCCAAGTCATGGACCAGGACCCCACTCTGCTAGGTGCTGTACAAACACAGAACAGTGACTGTCCTTTTCTAAAGACCTTACAGTCTAAGTGTAAGGCAAAAGACAACAAATGGATACAGACAGACTGACGGGAGGAGCTCAATGTGAGAATACTGGTCAGCGCTTGGGCAGTGGGTGCTCTTAGCACACCAGCAGCCTGTTATCAAAGTTCTTTTAAAGGTATCACAGCAGGTAGGACAGTTTTCAGGAGGGATTTGCTTGCAAGAGGCTAAGGAGTTAGTTTTGCAGATGTTCCTGTGGAGCTCCTCCTACGTATGAGGATCAGCATGGGAGAAAGAAACTGTTGCTCATGTACATTCCATTCTAGGTGTGTGAGTGCCCACTTAAACAGTCATCTGAGATTTTTGCCTTAGCAGTATCCATAGGGTCGGCTGTGGCAACCTCTGGAGTGCCGCGCTCATGCGTCAGTATATTAGGCGTCACCAGCCCTACATCCTCTCAGTTCCTTTTTCCCAGCAACTCCTACAGAGGGGCAAATAATGGAATGGACATGAGCAACACATCTCGAAGAACAACAGTTACAAAAGGTAGGTAACCGTTTTTTCTTCTTCGAGTGCTTGCTCATGTTGATTTCAGTCTAGGTGACTCACAAACAGTAACCCTGGAGGTGGGCTCGGAGTTCACAGTCGTGCAGCTTGCAACATTGCTCTACTGAAGCCAGCGCCATCTCAGGCTTCCAGTGTAAGTGTGTAGTGAGACGTGAACTTGTGAACGGACGACCAGGTAGCGGCCATGCAGGTATCTTGAATAGGTACTTGGGCCAGGAAGGCCACTGAAGAGGCTTACGCTCTAGTCGAGTGGGTGGTTACAATCACCGGAGGAGGAACTTTCGCCTGTTCATAGCAAAAACGGATGCAGGCGGTGATCCACGATCAAATTCTCTCAGTGGATACAGAATGACCTTTCATCCTGTCCGCCACGGCGATGAACAGCTGTGTTGATTTACGGAACAGCTTGGTCCTTTCGATATAAAAGGCTAGCGCTCTGCTGACATCTAGAGAGTGCAATCAGACTTATGAGGCTTTGGAAAGAAGACTGGCAAGAATATGTCCTGGCTCAGGTGAAACTGTGAAACAACCTTGGGCAGGAAAGCTGGGTGCAGTGCAGCTAGACTTTGTTCTTGAAAAACACTATATAGGGCAGCTCCGAGGTAAGCGCCCTAATCTCAGAGACCCTATGGGCAGATGTTATTGCCACCAGCAATGACACCTTCCAGGAGAGTAGAAGGAGGAAACAGGAAGCCAATGGCTCAAAGGGGGCTCCCATGAGCCGTGCCAGCACTAGATTCAGGTCCCAAGGAGGGTCCTAGACATGGAAATGAGTCACTCCAGACCCTTCAAGAACCAGACTGTCATGTCGTGAGCAAAGACCAACTTGCCCTGGACTGGAGGGTGAAAGGCTGATATAATGGCCAACAGGGCCTTAATTAATGAAAGGGACAAGCCCTGGAGCTTACGATCATAGGGTAGGTCTACACTACGGAATAAGGTCGAATTTATAGAAGTCGGTTTTTTAGAAATCGGTTTTATAAATTCGAGTGTGTGTGTCCCCACAGAAAATGCTCTAAGTGCATTAAGTGCATTAACTCGGCGGAGCGCTTCCACAGTACCGAGGCAAGCGTCGACTTCCGGAGCATTGCACTGTGGGTAGCTATCCCACAGTTCCCGCAGTCTCCGCTGCCCATTGGAATTCTGGGTTGAGATCCCAATGCCTGATGGGGCTAAAACATTGTCACGGGTGGTTCTGGGTACATATCGTCAGCCCCCCGTTCCCTCCCTCCCCCCGTGAAAGCAAGGGCAGACAATCATTTCGCGCCTTTTTTCCTGAGTTACCTGTGCAGACGCCATACCATGGCAAGCATGGAGCCCGCTCAGGTAACCGTCACCCTATGTCTCCTGGGTGCTGGCAGACGCGGTACGGCATTGCTACACAGTAGCAGCAACCCCTTGCCTTGTGGCAGCAGACGGTACAGTACGACTGGTAGCCGTCATCGTCATGTCTGAGGTGCTCCTGGTCGCCTCTGTGAGGTCGATCAGGAGCGCCTGGGCAGACATGGGCACAGGGACTAAATTTGGAGTGACTTGACCAGGTCATTCTCTTTAGTCCTGCAATCAGTCCTATTGAACCGTCTTATGGTGAGCGGGCAGGCGATACGGACTGCTTGCAGTCGTACTGTACCATCTTCTGCCGAGCAGCCATGAGATGTGGATGTCATGCAGTCCTTCTGCACCGTCTGCTGCCAGCCAAAGATGTAAAAGATAGATGGAGTGGATCAAAACAAGAAATAGACCAGATTTGTTTTGTACTCATTTGCTTCCCCCCCTCCCCTGTCTAGGGGACTCATTCTTCTAGATCACACTGCAGTCACTTACAGAGAAGGTGCAGCGAGGTAAATCTAGCCATGTATCAATCAGAGGCCAGGCTAACCTTCTTGCTCCAATAAGGACAATAACTTAGGTGCACCATTTCTTATTGGAACCCTCCGTGAAGTCCTGCCTGAAATACTCCTTGATGTAAAGCCACCCCCTTTGTTGATTTTAGCTCCCTGAAGCCAACCCTGTAAGCGCCCCTCCCAGCGTCAGAGCAATGGCAAACAATCGGGCATCTGAGAGTGCTGTCCAGAGCAGTCACAATGGAGCACTCTGATGGGGCTAAAACATTGTCGCGGGTGGTTCTGGGTACGTGTCGTCAGGCCCCCGTTCCCTCCCTCCCTCCGTAAAAGCAAGGGCAGACAATCATTTCGCGCCTTTTTTCCTGAGTTACCTGTGCAGACGCCATACCACAGCAAGCATGGAGCCCGCTCAGGTAACCGTCACCCTATGTCTCCTGGGTGCTGGCAGACGCGGTACGGCTTTGCTGCACAGTAGCAGCAACCCATTGCCTTCTGGCAGCAGACGGTGCAATACGATTGGTAGTCGTCCTCATCGTGTCCGAGGTGCTCCTGGCCGCGTCGACTGGGAGCGCCTGGGCAGACATGGGCGCAGGGACTAAATTTGGAGTGACGTGACCAGGTCATTCTCTTTAGTCCTGCAGTCAGTCCTATTGAACCGTCTTATGGTGAGCGGGCAGGCGATACGGACTGCTAGCAGTCGTACTGTACCATCTTCTGCCAGGCAGGCAAGAGATGAGGATTGCTAGCAGTCGTATTGCACCATCTTCTGCCAGGCAGGCAAGAGATGGGGATGGCTAGCAGTCGTACTGTACCATCTTCTGCCGAGCAGCCATGAGATGTGGATGGCATGCAGTCCTTCTGCACCGTCTGCTGCCAGCCAAAGATGTAAAAGATAGATGGAGTGGGTCAAAACAAGAAATAGACCAGATTTGTTTTGTACTCATTTGCCTCCTCCCCTGTCTAGGGGACTCATTCCTCTAGGTCACACTGCAGTCACTCACAGAGAAGGTGCAGCGAGGTAAATCTAGCCATGTATCAATCAGAGGCCAGGCTAACCTCCTTGTTCCAATAACAACGATAACTTAGGTGCACCATTTCTTATTGGAACCCTCCGTGCAGTCCTGCCTGAAATACTCCTTGATGTACAGGCACCCCCTTTGTTGATTTTAGCTCCCTGAAGCCAACCCTGTAAGCCGTGTCGTCAGTCGCCCCTCCCTCCGTCAGAGCAACGGCAGACAATCGTTCCGCGCCTTTTTTCTGTGCGGACGCCATACCACGGCAAGCATGGAGCCCGCTCAGCTCACTTTGGCAATTAGGAGCACATTAACCACCACACGCATTATTCAGCAGTATATGCAGCACCAGAACATGGCAACGCGATACCGGGTGAGGAGGCGACGTCAGCGCGGTCCCGTGAGTGATCAGGACATGGACACAGATTTCTCTGAAAGCATGGGCCCTGCCAATGCATGCATCATGGTGCTAATGGGGCAGGTTCATGCTGTGGAACGCCGATTCTGGGCTCGGGAAACAAGCACAGACTGGTGGGACCGCATAGTGTTGCAGGTCTGGGACGATTCCCAGTGGCTGCGAAACTTTCGCATGCGTAAGGGCACTTTCATGGAACTTTGTGACTTGCTTTCCCCTGCCCTGAAGCGCATGAATACCAAGATGAGAGCAGCCCTCACAGTTGAGAAGCGAGTGGCGATAGCCCTGTGGAAGCTTGCAATGCCAGACAGCTACCGGTCAGTTGGGAATCAATTTGGAGTGGGCAAATCTACTGTGGGGGCTGCTGTGATGCAAGTAGCCCACGCAATCAAAGATCTGCTGATATCAAGGGTAGTGACCCTGGGAAATGTGCAGGTCATAGTGGATGGGTTTGCTGCAATGGGATTCCCTAACTGTGGTGGGGCTATAGACGGAACCCATATCCCTATCTTGTCACCGGAGCACCAAGCCGCCGAGTACATAAACCGCAAGGGGTACTTTTCGATAGTGCTGCAAGCTCTGGTGGATCACAAGGGACGTTTCACCAACATCAACGTGGGATGGCCGGGAAAGGTGCATGATGCTCGCATCTTCAGGAACTCTGGTCTGTTTTAAAAGCTGCAGGAAGGGACTTTATTCCCAGACCAGAAAATAACTGTTGGGGATGTTGAAATGCCTATATGTATCCTTGGGGACCCAGCCTACCCCTTAATGCCATGGCTCATGAAGCCATACACAGGCAGCCTGGACAGTGGTCAGGAGCTGTTCAACTACAGGCTGAGCAAGTGCAGAATGGTGGTAGAATGTGCATTTGGACGTTTAAAGGCGCGCTGGCGCAGTTTACTGACTCGCTTAGACCTCAGCGAAACCAATATTCCCACTGTTATTACTGCTTGCTGTGTGCTCCACAATATCTGTGAGAGTAAGGGGGAGACGTTTATGGCGGGGTGGGAGGTTGAGGCAAATCGCCTGGCTGCTGGTTACGCGCAGCCAGACACCAGGGCGGTTAGAAGAGCACAGGAGGGCGCGGTACGCATCAGAGAAGCTTTGAAAAACAGTTTCATGACTGGCCAGGCTACGGTGTGAAAGTTCTGTTTGTTTCTCCTTGATGAACCCCCCCGCCCCTTGGTTCACTCTACTTCCCTGTAAGCTAACCACCCTCCCCTCCTCCCTTCGATCACCGCTTGCGGAGCCAATAAAGTCATTGTTGCTTCACATTCATGCATTCGTTATTCATTCATCACACAAATAGGGGGATGACTACCAAGGTATCCCAGGAGGGGTGGTGGAGGAGGGAAGGAAAATGCCACACAGCACTTTAAGCACAGCACTTTAAAAGTTTACAACTTTAAAATTTATTGAATGACAGCCTTCTTTTTTTTTGGGCAATCCTCTGTGGTGGAGTGGCTGGTTGGCCGGAGGCCCCCCCACCGCGTTCTTGGGCGTCTGGGTGTGGAGGCTATGGAACTTGGGGAGGAGGGCGGTTGGTTACAGAGGGGCTGCAGTGGCAGTCTGTGCTCCAGCTGCCTTTGCTGCAGCTCAACCATACACTGGAGCATACTGGTTTGGTCCTGCAGCAGCCTCAGCATTGAATCCTGCCTCCTCTCATCACGCTGCCGCCACATTTGAGCTTCAGCCCTGTCTTCAGCCCGCCACTTACTCTCTTCAGCCCGCCACCTCTCCTCCCGGTCATTTTGTGCTTTCCTGCACTCTGACATTATTTGCCTCCACGCATTCGTCTGTGCTCTGTCAGTGTGGGAGGACAGCATGAGCTCGGAGAACATTTCATCGCGAGTGCGTTTTTTTTCTTTCTAAGCTTCACTAGCCTCTGGGAAGGAGAAGATCCTGTGATCATTGAAACACATGCAGCTGGTGGAGAAAAAAAAAAGGGACAGCGGTATTTAAAAAGACACATTTTATAAAACAGTCGCTACACTCTTTCAGGGTAAACCTTGCTGTTAACATTACATACATAGCACATGTGCTTTCTTTACAAGGTCGCATTTTGCCTCCTCCCACCGCGTGAACGGATTTTGGTTGAATGCCAGCAAACATACACTGCAATGCTTTGTTCTACAGTGATTCCTGAGTACGTGTTACTGGCCTGGAGTGGTAAAGTGTCCTACCATGAAGGACGAAATAAGGCTGCCCTCCCCAGAAACCTTTTGCAAAGGCAGAACCGCAAATGCCAGGGCAAAGTAATCCTTTCACATGCTTGCTTTTAAACCATGTATAGCATTTTAAAAGGTACACTCACCAGAGGTCCCTTCTCCGCCTGCTGAGTCCAGGAGGCAGCCTTGGGTGGGTTCGGGGGGTACTGGCTCCAGGTCTAGGGTGAGAAACAGTTCCTGGCTGTCGGGAAAACCGGTTTCTCCGCTTGCTTGCTGTGAGCTATCTACAACCTCCTCATCATCATCTTCTTCGTCCCCAAAACCTACTTCCGTATTGCCTCCATCTCCATTGAAGGAGTCAAACAACACGGCTGGGGTAGTGGTGGCTGAACCCCCTAAAATGGCATGCAGCTCATCATAGAAGCGGCATGTTTGGGGCTCTGACCCGGAGCGGCCGTTCGCCTCTCTGGTTTTCTGGTAGGCTTGCCTCAGCTCCTTCAGTTTCACGCGGCACTGCTTCGGGTCCCTGTTATGGCCTCTGTCCTTCATGCCCTGGGAGATTTTCACAAAGGTTTTGGCATTTCGAAAACTGGAACGGAGTTCTGATAGCACGGATTCCTCTCCCCAAACAGCGATCAGATCCCGTAGCTCCCGTTCGGTCCATGCTGGAGCTCTTTTGCGATTCTGGGACTCCATCATGGTCACCTGTGCTGATGAGCTCTGCATGGTCACCTGCAGCTTGCCACGCTGGCCAAACAGGAAATGAGATTCAAAAGTTCGCGGTTCTTTTCCTGTCTACCTGGCCAGTGCATCTGAGTTGAGAGCGCTGTCCAGAGCGGTCAGAATGGAGCACTCTGGGATAGCTCCCGGAGGCCAATACCATCGAATTGTGTCCACAGTACCCCAAATTCGAGCCGGCAACGTCGATTTAAGCGCTAATCCACTTGTCAGGGGTGGAGTAAGGAAATCGATTTTAAGAGCCCTTTAAGTCGAAATAAAGGGCTTCATTGTGTGGACGGGTGCAGGTTTAAATCGATTTAACGCTGCTAAATTCGACCTAAAGTCCTAGTGTAGACCAGGGCTTAGAATCATAGAATATCAGGGTTGGAAGGGACCTCAGGAGGTCATCTAGTCCAACCCCCTGCTCAAAGCAGGACCAATCCCCAACTAAATCATCCCAGCCAGCGCTTTGTCAAGCCTGACCTTAAAAACTTCTAAGGAAGGAGATTCCACCACCTCCCTAGGTAACGCATTCCAGTGCTTCACCACCCTCCGAGTGAAAAAGTTTTTCCTAATATCCAACCTAAACCTCCCCCACTGCAACTTGAGACCATTACTCCTTGTTCTGTCATCTCCTACCACTGAGAACAGTCTAGATCCATCCTCTTTGGAACCCCCTTTCAGGTAGTTGAAAGCAGCTATCAAATCCCCCCTCATTCTTCTCTTCTGCAGACTAAACAATCCCAGTTCCCTCAGCCTCTCCTCATAAGTCATGTGTTCCAGTCCCCTAATCATTTTTGTTGCCCTCCACTGGACTCTCTCCAATTTAGCCACATCCTTCTTGTAGTGTGGGGCCCAAAACTGGACACAGTACTCCAGATGAGGCCTCACCAATATTGAACAGAGGGCAACAATCACGTCCCTCGATCTGCTGGCAATGCCCCTACTTATACATCCCAAAATGCTATTGGCCTTCTTGGCAACAATGGCACACTGTTGACTCATATCCAGCTTCTCGTCCACTGTAACCCCTAGGTCTTTTTCTGCAGAACTGCTGCCTAGCCATTCGGTCCCTAGTCTGTAACAGTGCATGGGATTCTTCCGTCCTACGTGCAGGACTCTGCACTTGTCCTTGTTGAACCTCATCAGATTTCTTTCAATCCTCTAATTTGTGTAGGGCCCTCTGTATCCTATCCCTACCCTCCAGCGTATCTACCTCTCCTCCCAGTTTAGTGTCATCTGCAAACTTGCTGAGGGTGCAATCCACACCATCCTCCAGATCATTTATGAAGATATTAAACAAAACCGGCCCCAGGACCGACCCTTGGGGCACTCCACTTGATACTGACTGCCAACTAGACATGGAGCCATTGATCACTACCCGCTGAGCCCGACAATCTAGCCAACTTTCTATCCACCTTATCATCCATTCATCCAGCCCATACTTCTTTAACTTGCTGACAAGAATACTGTGGGAGACAGTGTCAAAAGCTTTGCTAAAGTCAAGGAACAACACGTCAACTGCTTTCCCCTCATCCACAGAGCCAGTTATCTCGTCATAGAAGGCAATTAGATTAGTCAGGCATGACTTGCCCTTGGTGAATCCATGCTGACTGTTCCTGATCACTTTCCTCTCCTCTAAGTGCTTCAGAATTGATTCCTTGAGGACCTGCTCCATGATTTTTCCAGTGACTGAGGTGAGGCTGACTGGCCTGTAGTTCCCAGGATCCTTCTTCTTCCCTTTTTTAAAGATGGACACTACATTAGCCTTTTTCCAGTTGTCCAGGACTTCCCCCGATCGCCATGAGTTTTCAAAGATAATGGCTAATGGCTCTGCAATCACATCCGCCAACTCCTTTAGCACCCTCGGATGCAGCGCATTCAGCCCCATGGACTTGTGCTTGTCCAGCTTTTCTAAATAGTCCCGAACCACTTCTTTCTCCACAGAGGGCTGGTCACCTCCTCCCCATGCTGTGCTGCCCAGTGCAGTAGTCTGGGAGCTGACCTTGTTCATGAAGACAGAGGCAAAAAAAGCATTGAGTACATTAGCTTTTTCCACATCCTCTGTCACTAGGTTGCCTCCCTCATTCAGTAAGGGGCCCACACTTTCCTTGACTTTCTTCTTGTTGCTAACATACCTGAAGAAACCCTTCTTACTACTCTTAACATCTCTTGCTAGCTGCAACTCCAGGTGTGATTTGGCCTTCCTGATTTCACTTCTGCATGCCCGGGCAATATTTTTATACTCTTCCCTGGTCATTTGTCCAATCTTCCACTTCTTGTAAGCTTCTTTTTTGTGTTTAAGATCAGCAAGTGTGTTTAAGATCAGCAAGATGTAGAAGCTGGTCCAGGATTGACCGCAGCAAGGCCTGCTCAGGCCCAATACCCTGGTCCAAGGCCCAGCACGTGAACCGTTTCCATTTGGCCAGATAGGTTGCCCTGGTAGAGGGCTTCCTGCTGCCCAACGGTACCTGCTGGACACGGGCCAAGCACTCCTGCTCTTTGGCATTTAACCATGCAGCAGGCAAGCCGTCAGGTGCAGCGCTGCCAGGTTTGGGTGCAGAAGGTTCTGGTGGTTCTGGAACAGCAGATCCAGCCAGAGGAGCAGCTGTAGTGGGGCTGCCAATGAGAGATCCAGCGGCATGCCGAACCAGTGCTGGCAAGGCCAAGCCGGGGCTATTAGCTTCACCTGTCCTATTTTATCTTCATGAGGACTGTGGATTATCAGCACTGGTGGGAAGGCGTACATCAAAGCCCCCAACCGCAGGAATAAGGCAGCGTCTGACAGGAAGCCTCTGCCAATCCCCCGAATTGAGAACACGTGGCATTTCCTGTTCTGACAAGTTTCAAACAAGTCCACCTGGGGAGTTCCCCACCTTTGGAAGATCACGCTGACCATCTCGGGATGGAGAGTCCACTTGGGGTGAGATGAGAAGGTTCTGCTGAGGCGATCTGCTAATACGTTCCTGATGCCCAGCAGGTGCACGGCCATGAGAAGAATGGCATGCTGCACACGGAAGTCCCAGAGCCAGACAGCTTCCTGGCAAAGGGCTGTTGACCTAGCTCCACCTTGCTTGTCCGACAGGACTTGTATCACCTTGCCCTTCAAGTGGGACTGGAAAGCCTGGCAGGCCAAATGAATGGCTTTTAGCTCCCTGACATTTATGTGGAGGAAGCGACCGTCCCACGATCAACGGCCTTGTGTACTGAGCTTGCCCAAGTGGGCTCCTCAGCCCAGGTCCGACGCAACGGAAACCAGGGTCAACGACGGGGACACGAAGGGAACCCCCTCCAACACCGATTCGGGGTCCAACCACCATTCCAGTGACAACCGGATGTGGTCCGGC